TATAACACTAATTTAAATCTACATATGTGAAAAAAAATGAAAATAACATAATTTAGTTGTTTTTAAGTAGATATGATTTAATTTTAATTTGTCAAAAAATTGGAATTTTTTAAGACTATTTGATTGGAATTTGAGAAGTGAGAGAATAAATACAACATAGATGTGAAAATAATTATCAAAAATATTTCCAGCCTATGATCTTGCTATATATAATACAACTCCTTAATCCATCTTGATATTTATGGTCATTATGTATGTTTTTTGTTTGCTATATAGTTTTGATAACAAATAAATAATCAAGTAACATGTGCGTAATAAACTACTCATACATGATATATTTTCTTATAGTTGAGAAATTCTAACATGTAATGTATAGTTGATGGAGGTATGTCATACACCATACTGACGTCGCCAGAAATATACTACAACGAATTAGTTATTGTAATAAGTTTGAAAAAAATAAATATATTCTTCAAATTAGTAAAGATGTCTCATGTGATTTTGAACAATAGGTGTTGAAAACAAACCTGACGTTACACTATAGATATTTGTCAAAATATAAACAATAATATAGTGCTTAGGAGATTATCTTGGTAGTATTCTTTAAAAAATGACTTTGTCCCGGTTACATATAAATTCCTCTATTGTTTTGGGATAAAATTTGACTCATCGAATTTATGTGACGAAGGGAGTATAAGCAATATAAGTCTATCTTTAATTAGATAAAGTAGTCTATTAGCTATGTTTTAATGAAAAATAATTTCATTAATATATAATAAATCCATAAAGTCATCTATAGCACACAATAAAAAATGTTAGTAAAATTTTGGAAACTGAAATGCTAAATATTCTAAAAAAGAATCACATATAGTACAAATATATATGAACCAACTCCATCATTGTGACACAATTTTTTCTTGGTTGTACAGTTTCAAATAATTTTAGTATAGAGTTTATACGTTGCAAGGATAATCAGAAGAAAAACATAACCAATGTCCAAACCTATTATTAACCAAAATATGTTTAAAATAGAGTCAAAAAATATTTCAACAATATCATCCTAACATTCGTAATAAAAACTAAATCAACATTAAATAAGGTGCCTGCGCGTATGCGCGAGCTACTTTCCTAGTGTAATAGAATTACGCTTAGATATGGCTAGGATAGCAGCATGACGCATTTGCAAAGCACGGATCAAATATTTAAATTGGTGTAGGCATTAGTAGTTTCAGTTCTTTTTTCATTCAAGAGAAGGAAAATTGTCCATCAATTCCATGGATGGAGGACATACCCAGTGACTGCACCGAGAAAGCTGACCAAATACATCCCTTAACCAAAAAAACGCACCTTCTTAATTCCTTCAATATTAAAAGTAAATGCTCATCCCAAAATAATACGATGATTTATATAGCCATATGTGTTTTTTATTTGTTGTTAGGCTCGCTCAGTCAGGCTCATAAAAAAGTTTTGGATCTGCCACTGCTACGATGGATGCACAATGAATAGAGAAACAAGAAAACAAAAGAGCTAAGCTTACCTCTACTTATAAGAGCTTACACTGATATGATCTGTCGCATCAACTTGGTCCAGAGCATCTCCTTGGACATCACTCGATCCATGGACACATGGAGAAAGACTGGATGGTTTCAAAGTGCTCAAAAGTTTCCTTTGATCCTTGCACTAGGAAAATGGTTAAGTACACAATTTTGACAAATTAACCCTTCCAAAAAAACTTATTTTAAAAATAAATCATACTAAAAACTAATTTCAGAAATGGACCATAATCTCAGCGTCATCATCGTTGGCGCTGACATGAGCTCAGAGCCATGTGTGTTGGTGATGATCTCAGTGCTAAAACCGTGCACGGGCCACCTTGGATAATCAAGTGAAGCTGGCACGGTGGTAGTACAGTGAAGTTTGAACATCTAGGGCACAGGTTCCAACCACGTTAGTGTATTTATTTCTTTTCAGTTATTTTTACTTATCCTTCTCGAATTCTGGTCCTATTAATTTATTTTCCAAAGAATCACAGGTTGTGTGTAAAATTTATTTTATGTTGAATTTGGAACAAACAAATTTGACATATAATGTTAATCTCAATAAAATATGTAACTCAACAATTACAAACTTAAAATTTTATAAACTTGAATAGTATAATTTTGGTTCTTATATTTGTTCCTTCCAAGTTTTAAAATAAAATGAGTTGTAAAAAGCACGTGAACATTCAAAGGAAACATAAAAGAGCAAGTTGAGATAAACAATGATTAAAATGATGGGGACAGGAATAGAACCGAACTGTTGTGCCCTGGATGGCTACTCCGCAACAATACCACTGGGCTATCTACAGTTCATTACTTTGGCAGCTACAGTTCATTACTTTGGCAGCTCCCACACAATTTTAAAGTATACAGAGGTCAGCACCACACACTACGACGATGAGCTCTTCATAGCTGACGAGTTCATACAATCTTAGCGGCAACGGTAGTGGCGCTGAAACGCTTTAGCTCACCGTATCAGGGTTGGCACTGAGGTCACGGCCTATTTCTGAAATTAGTTTTTGACACGGTTTACTTTGAAATAAGTTTTTTGAAAGGATCAATTTGTCAAAATTTCGGTGGTTAAGTTGAGAGTTGAAAGTTCCGGCATGGGGGCTATGTTGAGAGGACTAATAGGAAGTTGTGGTCGCTATTCGCTAGGACCAGGGCAGCAAGGGCTGACCAAAAGTTCGTGTCACAAGGACTGAAAATATAGGTCTCTCCCTTCTGCGAGTGACTAAGTTTTGGCCAGAAATTCTAGAATAGGTACCGGAAATTCTAGCTTTGTGTAGCAGCTAGTTGCCAATGCCATTTCGAGGGGTTGGTTGTTCCCTTATCTAGACCTACTACCATGCATGCATAGCCTTTCATATATATTTTTCCTCTATAAATTTGGACAGTGCTAAGTTGGTTTTTTATGGGATAGAGGAAACATCGTTGAGTGATTGAGTGATACTTGGGGATCGGTATGCTTCTGAGAGCTAGAGTTTTGGCTTGAGTACTTTAGGATTGAAGCCGGGTATTCTTCATCGGGTTTTTTATTCTTAGAAAGTTTGAGTGGGTACCGAGCTCAATCTTTGTGGTTGTTTGGTGAGACTTGGGGTCGAGAGAAACATGGTTGCTTGGAGTAATAGAATTCTTTCATTCTCTACCTTTCCCTCTTTTTACCGCTTTACCATTGTATTGCCTAGTGCTACTCGATATGTCTATTCCTGTTATCCTACTTGTTTCTTAATAGTTTACCCTTCTAGTTATTGTCTCTTTAGCCATTGGAAACATGCTTGTGATATGTTCCCCTTCGAGGGTTTTCGTGTATGACCGGAACCTCCCTTGTTATTTACCGGCAGTTCTGGCCATAAGACCAGAAGTTTTGGCCATATCTGATCCGCTGCAAAGTGTATCAGGAAAATTGCCTATTCACCTCTGCTCTAGGTATTTCAAAGGACTTTCGCAGTTAATGCCGCTCCACCCATAACCTTATCATTGGTCGATGCCACTACACTCAATCGGTAGATCTAGAGAAATGGGAAATAGGATGGAGAGAATGGGTGGTTATGTGGTATAATAGCAATATAAATAGGTGGGACTGGATAGGCCGTAAAAAAAAAGGGTTTGTTGGATAGCCTCAAATGCGTGGTATAGATAAATAATGCATTGGATATAACATACTCCCGCGGTTTTTTAATGTATTACACCATTGACTTTTGACATTACGTTTGACCATTTTTTTATTAAAAAATAAATATCAGTTATTTTATTGCGACTTGTGTTATCATCAAAGAAATTATAATATTAAGTTATACTTTTTATTTATTTAGTAAATAAGATGAATTATCAAACGTGAAAAGGCAACGGCATCTTATATAAAAAAAGGCAATATGTAATCACATTCTCGAACATTTTTAGGAATTTCTTGATAATAATTTTCAGCCTTGGGGTAACAATATAGTACACAAGAGTTTAGCCAAGTAATATGATAAGCTTGAAAAAGCCATAAGTTTGAATATTTCAAAAATATTTCATCCATTTTTGTTTTTTTGAGAATTACACAGTACAACACAGACACTCACAACGCACTCACCCCTATGAACACATGCACGCGAACCCCTACCCTTATGAGCATCTTCGAAGACTGGGCCGACAAATCCTGGAGAGATTGACGAAGTCACCACAGGCTACCACTGAAAGAGGCTCTTGTAACCACTAGGTTACATGCCCTTTCGCATTTCATCCGTTTTTAATGCCGTGTTAACATGTTTTTTTTTTCAAAACATAGATGCTGTTTTAGATTTTTAATTAGGCATCCTATTCTAAAAATTTAGCATGTGATGTAGAGACTGCATGGTTGGTCGATCTACTGGCTCGGTAACGAATTCATGATGCATGGAGCGTCAGTCGCAACACGTTCCAGGCTTCCCAGCCCAAGTGCAAGGGCGACAAGCTGCGGCATCTTAGGCCTGTTTAGTTCGTGAGACGAAAAGTTTTGGCGTGTTAATCGGATATACGGATAGACATTTGAAGTATTAAACGTAACCTAATAACAAAACAAATTACAGATTTCGCCTGTAAACTGCGATGAATTTATTAAGCCTAATTAATCCGTTATTAGCAAATGTTTACTGTAGCACCACATTGTCAAATCATGCATCAATTAGGCTTAAAAGTTTTGTCTCGCAATTTACACGCAATCTGTGTAATTACTCCCTCCGTCCTAAAATATAACAATTTTTAGCCCTCGGGATTTATCCCAAAATATAACAACTTATCAATTAACATTCTCTTCCTAACCAATCACAACCCCTCCACCATTCTCTTTTCTCACATACCTCCACTACTCATCCAATCACAATCTTCCAGCACTCACGTCTACCTACTTTCTTAATAACCGTGTCTAACCCTAAAACTTCTTATATTCTGGGATGGAAGAAGTAGTTTTTTTTGTCAATATTTAATACTCCATGCATGTGTCCAAACATTCATTGTGACGGGATGAAAAGTTTTTACATGGGAACTAAACAGGGCCTTAGTAAAAAGGAATAAGTTTGCTTTACATTCCTCATTTTTACATCAAATCCCTCAACCACAATACAAGATATAAAACCTCGAACTTTTAAAACCACATTGATATATACATTCTTTGGCGGTTTACATGGTCTTTTGGGCTTAGGTGGTGCTTACATAGCAGTGGTCTCACTTGTCATATCATTTTTTCTTCTTTCACAAAAATAAATCATTCATCACTAAAAGTTATTAGGTGAGACTACATGCCATCAGCCCTCCTTCTCTCCTCGCTAGCTCCCTACCTCCCATCACCGGCGTCCCCACGCCACACGGCACACACCACCCATCAGCTTTAGCAATACTTGGTGTTATCCATACGGGACTAGGCCAGCTAGACCAGATCGGTGATATAGTTTTCTTCCTTCTGCGATTCTCCAAGTCAAAAACTCCAATATCACGGGGGCCATTTTTAATTAGCATCAGCAAGTCCACATGGTCGTCAGTGAAGTAGACATGATTTGCTCTTAATTGTGGGTATTCTTCAGCTCTAAGACAAATCGACTGGTTGTGACCAAGAAACAACACATGGTATGGCAAGCTGTTTATTTGCACAAGCTTATTTGCTGCCATGTCAACTTTAAAAACCTTGATTTCTTTAGTACGCATTACAGGCACTATACCATCCTCAGTCTCATAACATAAAGTATCGTCATCCCCATCCTGCTGCTCTGCAGCATCCACTGTCCTCCAAACTTGCAGAAGATCACCCCATGGAGCTCGAATAATGTACATGCTCTCAGAAATACCTTTCATGTGTTTAATAATTTCCTTCCTAGTGACAACGGAGGCTGTGATATCAAAGGCATCGATCTGTCCATGTGATGTCAATGCATACAACAGACCATCATGGTATACACAATCTCTGTAGCGAGTGTTGTGGGGTAACCAGGTCCATTTATCATCTCCTACTCTTGCAAAGGAAAGTTGACAAAATGGATAGTGGATGACCACCACAATGAAGCTTCTAGTCAAGGGATCAGGAAACACAAATGCCTTGTAGTATAGGTGGTCACGCAGCTCACTGGGAGTAAGGATTGGCGACGGCTCTCCATACGGATCTCCATAATCTTTCTCTGCACAGTACCATCCGATCTTGTAGCCTTGGACAACACCAATGTCATTGAAGATGGGCTTCACCTGCTCAATGGTGATCACCGGTGGGAGGGCAATCTGTTGTCCGGTGATTGGATTGACAAGATGAAGCTCGGATAACTCATCAGCAGTAACCACCCAACCATGTGAGGATCCAATCGGCAGTCTTTTGTGCAGCGGCGTCCCTGGGAGAGTTAACCTGAAGGCCCTCTTCTCCACAAGACTGTAGAGGCATGAAACCTTCTCGCCTGAGGATTCAGTGGTGTAGAGCAGGCAGGGAGTCTGCTGCTTGTACTGCCCCATGTCGCGTAGGCTGGTGTAGGCAGAACGCCAGGATTGGCAGACAGATCCCGCACGAACAAGGTCAGGGATCTCCAGGAGGGCAAAGATCTCCATCAGCATATCCTGTGAAAGCTCCGGTAAATCTGCCGCTTGAGTCTCCATAGGAGGTGGATGCACATATTCATATTTTCCGGATTCTTTCAGCAGGAGATCTGATAAGAGTTTGATGAGTAGACGGCACAATTTTTTCGGGCGCATAGCTAGATCCCCTAAGTTGATAATCCTGGCTATGCTACAGGCCTCCATTGGTGCAGATTGAGATCCAATGTCTGCTTCTGCTTGAATACTTGCAAAGATTCAAAGGCTCCTGGCTCCACTTATAACACCTACCTCATGTCAGGGAAGGGAAGAAAACCGACACGGAGACTGAAAAACAAGAAAAAGGATGAGATTCTGACTCCACGCGAAATCGGAGTCTGGGGAAACCGTATTCCGAATTGATGTCTGCGAAGATCGAACATGCATGGAGTGCTAACCTTCGGCGGTGTGGCTGGAGGAGGAGATTGCAAAGATTGAACGTCGAATCCCTGGAGGCTCTGGGCAGCCGTTCCTCGTCGGTGGCGGCGGCTGAAGGTTCGGTGCCACCCGAGATCAGGGTGCGCGCGGCGGTGGCTCCGGGATTCCGGGTGGCGCAGCGCCTAAGACGGCGGCTGGGGGAAAGGGGAGACCGGAGGAGACAACGATGACTGTGGATATTTTCTCGAGAAAAAAAAAAAGAAAGAAGAAAAACTGAACGTCTGATTGAATCTGATCCAACGGGTGTGGCTAATGGGCGATCGAGCGATCGATCCCCATGCCCCGTGTACACACCTCTCCTCCCTTCCTCCTCCCCTTCTCTTCATACTACACTATAAATTTAAAAAAAATAAAAAAATAAAATTGAAAAAATTTATATATAGAAATACTATATATAAAAAATATTTGAATTCAAATTCAAATTTGAAACGGGTATGTAAACTTTTGACTTATAAACTTTGGGTCTATAAACTAATATTTGAATTCAAATTCAAATTTGAATCGGGTATGTAAACTTTTGATTTATAAACTTTCAGTCTATAAACTTTAGGTGTATAAACTTTAGATGTATAGAAATACTATATATAAAAAATATTTGAATTCAAATTCAAATTTGAAACGGGTATGTAAACTTTTGACTTATAAACTTTGGGTCTATAAACTTTAGGTGTATAAACTTTAGATATATAGAAATACTATATATAAAAAAAATTTGAATTTAAATTCAAATTTGAATCGGATATATAAACTTTTGACTTATAAACTTTAGGTTTCTAAACTTTAGATGTATAAACTTGAGGTGTACAAACTTTAGGTGCATAAATTTACTAAAATAGGAAAGTAATGTGGTGCTAAAAAAAGAAAACCACGTGAAGGAGAGGGGGAGACCAGATCCGATCGCCCCTAGCGGCCCCTGGTGATCAATCGCCCATTAGGAGTTTCGTGATCCAACGCCCCTTCTGGTGGGTGCTGTTTGCGATATATAAGTCCATTTTACACCACTAATCCATTTTTTTTCTCTAAAATATACTCTGTAACTTTAAACTGGGTATTTTACACTACTAACTTCCGATATCGTGCAATTTACCAAACCTGATTTTGGCAAACATGGCGCTCATGTGGCAATATACACATCATCAGGAATATACAAGGATTGTGGGTCCCACATGTCACTCTCTCCTCCTCCCCCCTCTCTCTGAAGTCACCGAGCCTAGGACTCGCCAGAGGCAGAGCTCGCGGAGGAGGAGCTGGACGCACCGCCCCCAACTTCTGGGTCCATCTGTCCCCTACTTTCGTTTTGTCGTCACATCACCCGGTCTCCACCACTGCGTTCCACTCTCCTCCCTCCCTCTACTTCCCCACAGTTAAAGAGGACGACGGAGCCAGCCCCCTCGGCCCAAATAGAATAAGATAGGGAAATGAATGGGTGAGGACGAGCTCATAGAAGACAGAGGCACGGGTACTCCTCCGCACGGTGGCTGCGGCCGCTGGCCCTCCCTACGACCGGCGCTGGAGCCATATGTCACACTCTCGGAGTTTTCTTTTTCTCGTAGTTTATAAATCACTAATAAAACATCTATAGAAGGCACTCTTTTTAACTAGGAGCAAACCCTAAATTAATAAGGCAAAATTTGCTAAAGGGCATCTAAAAAACATGTAATTAGCTGATGGATACCGCAAGAACACGAATTTGTTGTTGGGCATCAAAAAACTGGTAATTAGCTGATGGACACTCGCGGACATATTTTATTATTTTCAGAGAAATTGGAGAGAGAAACACACATTAAAGGAGTTTCGTGATCCAACGCCCCTTCTGGTGGGTGCTGTTTGCGATATATAAGTCCATTTTACACCACTAATCCATTTTTTTTCTCTAAAATATACTCTGTAACTTTAAACTGGGTATTTTACACTACTAACTTCCGATATCGTGCAATTTACCAAACCTGATTTTGGCAAACATGGCGCTCATGTGGCAATATACACATCATCAGGAATATACAAGGATTGTGGGTCCCACATGTCACTCTCTCCTCCTCCCCCCTCTCTCTGAAGTCACCGAGCCTAGGACTCGCCAGAGGCAGAGCTCGCGGAGGAGGAGCTGGACGCACCGCCCCCAACTTCTGGGTCCATCTGTCCCCTACTTTCGTTTTGTCGTCACATCACCCGGTCTCCACCACTGCGTTCCACTCTCCTCCCTCCCTCTACTTCCCCACAGTTAAAGAGGACGACGGAGCCAGCCCCCTCGGCCCAAATAGAATAAGATAGGGAAATGAATGGGTGAGGACGAGCTCATAGAAGACAGAGGCACGGGTACTCCTCCGCACGGTGGCTGCGGCCGCTGGCTCTCCCTACGACCGGCGCTGGAGCCATATGTCACACTCTCGGAGTTTTCTTTTTCTCGTAGTTTATAAATCACTAATAAAACATCTATAGAAGGCACTCTTTTTAACTAGGAGCAAACCCTAAATTAATAAGGCAAAATTTGCTAAAGGGCATCTAAAAAACATGTAATTAGCTGATGGATACCGCAAGAACACGAATTTGTTGTTGGGCATCAAAAAACTGGTAATTAGCTGATGGACACTCGCGGACATATTTTATTATTTTCAGAGAAATTGGAGAGAGAAACACACATTAAAGACAATTTTGCCCTTCGGCTTCCTCGAAGAGCACCATCGCCATCCCAGCCACAAGTTCTGCAACTTTCTTCATCCGTGTAGATTTGCAGGTCGATGCTGCCGGTCTCACCACTCTCACCATCTCTCCTCAGATCAGCAAGCACCGACCATCGCCTGTCCCCTCTACTCAGTGTCGTCACAGCCCCCATCAATTTCCACCAGATTTGCCACTGCCTCCTCTACAGCGGTCATCCAAATCCATAGTCAACACGAGCAACACATTATTTGTTCTTGGGCTGCAATAGAGACGGTGGCGGTGGTGACGCACACCGGTGTCAGCGGCGGCCACAGTGCATTCTGGTGATATGGCGCACAATCCTCAGGCAATGTTAGTAGCCGCCGGATGGCAGTAGCCTACTCCAATGGTGATGGCTACTGCTGCGTATGGGAGCATCAATCTTGCAAACATCTATACTTTATGGATGGCTCAAATTGTTTTTTTTTTATCTCGAAGAATTTGCTTGCTTTTCCAAATATGAAAGATTTGGAGTCTTGCATTTGATTGTGCTTGTGGTGGTCGTCGGTGGTGAGCCATTCCAGCGAGGTACCGTGTGCTGTTGATTCTGTAATTTTGGGAATTTATGGTTTTGCTGTGTGTATGTGGGTGACGGACGACACGGACATTCCGACAGCGGTGGTGGCGACTGGCGCTGGCGCCGCCGCGCAGGACATCGTGTTGGTGAGCTCCGGGCGCAACGCCGCCGCAGTCCTTGGGCAGTGAGGCTGGACTTGAGCGGCCCGACGCGTGGGCTGAGCCTGCAGTACTTGGAGGCGCCGGCGAGGGTGTCGACGAGGCCGAGCCTGACTGGCTTGGCGTCCCACCACGTCCTCGGCGACCGGAGCAAGAGCGCCTTGTGGTCCAACAACATCACTTCGAAGTAGTAACAGTGGCGTGGTCGACGACCGCGACCAGCGACCATTTTCTAGCTTCAGCGAGGGCGCCGATGGATTGAAGCCGTGCAGGGGTAGAATTGTACTCTCACACTAGTTTATCTCTCCAATATCTTTAGAAATAATAAAATATGGCTGCGAGTGTCCATCAGCTAATTACTAGTTTTTTTTTTGTGTTCGAAAGCAAATTCGTGTTCTTGCGGTGTCCATCAGTTAATTACACTTTTTTGAATGTCCTGTAGAAAATTTTGCCAATTAACAATGTGTCTAATAATCGGAATTGTTAGGGAGAATTTTTTTTTCGAATTCTCTTTGCTTTAAACGACTAACATGAATTTTAGTGAAATATTCATATTAGAGAAAATAACCTTGTTAATGTTAAATGTCAGGATTTAAATTAATAATTCTTTCCTCTCTCTCCATTGGTCGTGAACCGTTCCCGGTTCACTCCCTGTCCGCGGTTCGTCGTATCCACCAACCCCTTTGTCGCCTGGGTTTCGTTTTGTATGGCGAGCTTAGTCATACTCCTACTTCAATTCGGTTTCCTTTTCCTTTCCCGAAACGGCGCTACATCTGTTTTCCTCCACCTTTCCTATTTAGGTTCCCCTCCCTCCATATTTCTTTCCCTCCTCCCCACGGCCGTGCGCGCACCCCTCCTCCCCCTCGGCCGAGCCGCACGCCCTCCTCCCCCCTTGCTGCGCATCCCCACCGGCCCCAGCGTATCCTTCTCAATCTCCCCTATATAAGTCATCATACCCCCCCCCCCCTTCTTTTTCTACTTTTCACCCGCCTAAACCCTAGCTGCCACCTCCTCCTCTCCCATGCGCCATCACCCTAACTGTCGCTAGCCGTCGCCACCACCCCTCGTCACCACCATCGTCGTTGTTGCGTCGCTGGTGAGCTGCCCTTTTTCCCGCTGGCATGGTTGCCGTTGCAGCTGTCTTTTAGCCTATCTAATCTACTCCGTGTTGTGTGTAACCCTAGCGTCGCCGTCGTCTCAGGGAGTTGCCGCCGGACCGCCGCCACCGCCGTCTCTCCCTCTCCGGTCGTTCCTCATCGGTGAGGTCCCCTTCTTGTTTCTAGGGTTTGGATTCTATGTTACCTTAGCTGTGTTGCGTCACCGTCGGGTCGATGTGCGTGTGCAGCCGCTAACCGTAAAATATACGTTTAACTTATCATAAAACATTAAAAAACCCTCTATTTTTTCTAATTGTTGACATTATAAATGAGGTAAATTTTGGTACAGGATACTTAGTTTGTAATTTGGTAGAGGACATAAAAAAGGTAGGACGCGAATTCGTGGTCATAGTTCCTGGACACGAGAAAAATCGATCCTTAGAAAAAAACATTCTCAAAATATGATTAATTATTACTGGACACTGTACAAATCAAAATATTTATTTATGTTTGAAAAAGAGAGACAAATAGTGTAAAATCTAATGCCCCTAGACCCACTGTCATATTTTTTTTCTGAAAAAGTCTGAATTACCTTCCCGAATTATTGCATGAGTAAGAAATACTCCCTAGACCTAAAAAACCAGACATTTTTCAACCTTAGGTATTAATGCCGGATGAACAACACCCCTAATAAATATACATGTTGTGGCCCACTTGCGTGTGGTGGCGGACCCGAAGGCGTCCCTCCTCGTCCTTACCGTCCGGTACAACCCCACCACCACCACCGCCATCGTCGCCGGCGACCGGAGCAACTAGGT